ATGTGTATACATGCTCTTAATATATATTTAACTCAATTGCCTAGTGAACTCTTGGAAGAAAGTGTCTCTGTTGAAAGATTAGCAGCTATACTCTGTATTTATTATTTATATTTTTTTACCACTTAGAGGCCAGGGGCTGATTGTATGAGGAACAGTACAAAGAGAGGTAGCCGTGTTAGTCTGAGTCTGCAAAAGCGATAAGGAGTCCTGTGGCACATTATAGACTAACAGATTTATTGGAGCATAAGCTTTCGTGGGCAAAGACCCACTTTGTCAGAGCTTGTACAAAGAGACAGTTCCTTCCCTGAAAAACTTACAGTCTCAGGATGTATATACTATAGCTTCTGCAGAGGCACAGCTATGATACTGCAGCTGTGCCTCTATAGCACCACCATGTAGACCAGTGTTTCTTAAACTTTTTAAGACCGAGGAACACCAAACAATAATTTTTTTATGAGGAACACCAAGGAGTTTTTGTTGAGAAGAAAAAAAAAGGGGGTTGGGGGAAAGTTATTGAGAAAAAAAAAGTCGCCTGCTCCTTTAAGGGTGGACATTTTGAATTCTGTTGTTCTCCGCGGCACACCTCTGACTGCCTCCCGGCACACCAGTGTGCCACGGAACACATTTTAAGAAACATTGGTGTAGATGCTTTCTACATAAATGGAAGTGGCTTGTCCATTGCTATAGTTAATCTATCTGTCCAAGAAGTGTCAGCTAGGATAGAGAAAGAATTCTTTCCCTGACCTGGCCGTATCCACACCAGTGGTTAGATTGACCTAACTAGGGCATATCTACACTGACAAGTTTTGTCATCAAAACCCCCCTTTTGGCAACAAAACACTGATAGCATTCACACTGCAACATGACAAAAATGCCCAGTTTCTGCAACAGAAAACATCAACTTCCATTAGGGACTTTTTCCTTTCCCCCTCCCTTTACTATTGACAATCTGTCTGTGTGTACCACGGGCATCTTTTTTGGCCTTTATTGAACTCCAGGGTGTGTCCCACAATGCCCAGTTAGTTAGTCACTGTGGGCAACTATTTGAATTCTGCAATCCACCCCTCCCTCTTGCAAGCTCTTAAAAATTAAAATTCCATTTCCTACTGGCTGGTTCAGTGTTGAGTGCTCTCATGGAGTCTTCTCAGGTCATCAGGACTGACTGTCACTCCAAACACTCTCCTGTGTAGGCCACTGCAGAGTTTTTGGATCTTATCAGTGTGTGGAGAGAGGAGTCAGTGCAGTCCTAGCTGCGAGTGATCCATAGGACCTGGGACATGTACGGACACATTTCTGGATCCTGGTGTGAGAAGGGGTAATATCAGGGCATACTGCAGTGCAGAATGAAGATAAAGGAGCCGAGGCAGTCCTGCCGTAAGTTGAGGGAGGCAAACCGCCATTCTGGTACTGCACCCAAGACTAGGGATGTTATATCCTATTTAATTGGATGGGTTAAACATAGTGCCTCAGCTGCAGTTAGGGGCTGCTCTAGCCCCTCTGGAGCAGCCTCTGCCTGCAGTGTGCCAGGGCCCGCCATGGACAGGGGCTACTCCGCCCGTGCTGGAGTTCCCCTGCTCGCGGTGAGACCCACGAGGCTGGAGCCACCCCTGGTCTGTGGCGGCTGCTGGAGCTCAAACTGTTTATTTGCGTGACTCAGCTCCGGCATCTGTGGTGGCTGAAGTGGCAGCAGGAAGAGGTGAGGTAGGAGGCACTTCCCTTCCTCCTTCCCCCCACCCTCCTCCACGCTTGGTGAGGATGCACTTGGGGAGGGAGGGAGTGCAAAGGATAGGGTTACCAGGTAGACCCCTCCCCCCCCAAATACTGGACACACTTGATTGTGGGCGGGGGAGGGGGCGGGGCTGTCTGGGAGGAAGGGGGAAG